TACTGACATGAAAAAGCCGTCAGGAACATATCTCTAAAATGTCAAAGTGCCAGTGACAAGCACAAAATGCAGCCGCTGCAGATGCAGGCTCCAACTCCGGAGTGTGTCCCGCGGCTGCCTCCTCCCGCACCGTCCCTCCCCTGGGTCCTCCTGTTTGTGTAGCTTTGCTTTCCCTTCCACATTCCTCTCGTGCTGTGTTCCCAGCAAACGGGAGGATAGCTGGGCCTTGATTAAACTCCTGCAGACCTCAGCAAAAGCTCTTTTAAACCCTGAGCAGTGTAATTTATCTTAAGACTCCTATCTCTGAAAGAAGTCGCTCATTCGGACTCTGTGGTCTTCTCTTCCATTTCCCCCTTTGATTCACTCTGGTGAATCACTAGTGACTTCACTCATGTCCATACAGACTGACAGATAAACTGACAAGTCCAGTCTTACAGGGCAGGAAACGGCTGGGATCTTACTCAGTTGTAGAGTAAGAAATAAAAAATGAAATTTATTTCCACTGGCACAGTGTAGGGAAGGAAACACCCAACAGAAGAAAGGAGAAGGGAAAGAAGAAATAAAACCCACTAGCATGGGCCATGCACTGAATGCTGTATTTAGGTTGTTAGCCGCAGGTGCCTCTCATTTAGCGGCACATCTCCAAGTCCTGGCTCTGCAGGGACACACAGGTCGGGCCCGTAGAGCTGCCCGGCTCTCGGCTCTGCCCGTCCCTTCTCCTGCCCTGCAGCCTCCTCCGCCGCCCGTCCGCTGGGGCAGCAGCAGTAAATCCTGCACAYGGCGCCAAGGCACCTGCACTGCAAGAGCCGCTCACTTGCAGTGAGCTTAAGCCAAAATTATTCATCCTCCTTTTATTATTCCTTAGCAAGGCCTAGAGTTTTAGCTGTGAATCGTAAGAAGATTGGGAGCTTAAATCTAGATACAAGACTAAAGACAAGCAGATGGGGGAGACGCTGCTGGCTCAAGTTCGTAAGGCAGCTCCCACCCTCAGCTYCCAGCTCCCTATCGGCCTCAGCTGCAGACAGGATTTTCCTGGAGAGAAAATCCATCCTCTTCTCTTCCCCCAACAGTCTTTCCCTTCTCATGCTGCAGCTGCAAAGAACTTTTTTTTCAGCTCACTTTGACCACATCATCCCTCTTTTCTGCTTATCTCACTGACKGACGCTGTGCCCCCAGCCCTGCGGCCACACGATGGTCACACACATTCAGGTATTGGATGGGAAGTGTTTATCCAGCTGCAACAGTCACCAAGTTAGCAAGAGGAAGCAGGAAGCTGGGCATGGCACTGTTTAAGATACATAATCTTCAGTGTGGCTGCCAGGTGTCTTCTTTGGCCTCTATGTCACGGCCTTTTTGCCTATTCTTTTGTCTATCTAGTGTTCAGGAAAAGGAAGTGGATTGCTGAGTGTTCTGCCTTCGTGAGGGCAGGGCAGGACTACAGGACATTGTGGAAATAATCAAGACATACCTAAGCAGTATGTGTTATACTTACTTTTTTGGTAACTATTTGAAGGAGGTTTTCCCTGCTCACCTGAGACATCTRCATCTCTTACCACTTAATTAAAGGCTGATGGTAAAAGATGCACATAGATGTGCATTTTCCTGTGGGTTACTTTCCATCTCTTAGGGGGGCTGCCAGTCTGAACAGCTGCTCTCTTATTAAGAGCTTGCATGTTCATTTATGCAAGCTGCAGGGCTTTAATAAATGCAGGTTAACAAGTGACTTGCAGGTCAGTTATTAACATCTAGTGAAGAAGCAGGGTACTTCACTCAGTGTCATCTTAGTTACAAGGCGCAGCAGTAGGGACATCTCTATTTACAGATCATTAAAGAGATGTGCTCTGCCGTAACAGGCAGAAATACTTGTTTTTCTTGAGCATTTTCACAGTATTTGGTCAAGTGAAAACTATGCAGATGCCTGCTGGCTGAAAAATGAAAAGAAAGAGCAGAGAGAAGTATGGGGGTGGAAGAGCAGGAAGAGCGAGGTTACAGAAGAAGGACTGTATCAAGGGGACCAGTGCTGCCGTTCCTCAGATAGCAGTTTCAGATACTGAGGATGAGAACCATTGGTGCCTTCCTGTCCCCAACATAGCTGAGTACTCGGCTTGAGCGATGCATGGTCAGGTTTGCACATCATGGAAACATCCTGGTCTTAGGAGAAGTGTCAGATCTTCAGCAAAACGGTGGCTGAAGGCAGGATGGGACAAGCTAAGAGGAAGCCCAGCTGCAAGGACTGTGCTGATGGAAGCAGCTACAGCAGCCTTGGGCGGGCGACTGCAATTGCGACAGCTCTGAGGCTTTTCTGAAGTGTTGGGAGAAGAAACCAAGCTCCGGCTGCCCACAGCCGCCCCTCCCGGCTCTGGCTGTGCCGGCCGCGATCCCGGAGGGTCAGCCTGCACTGGCGGCAGTATCCCGGAACTCCTTTCTCTCACATCTCCATCCTTCTCATTCCAGCACAACCTCCTGTTCTATCACTCCCGCTTGCTCTTTTGTTTCGTTTTGTTTTTCTTTTTGTTCTCCAGAACTTTGCCAAATGTTATCTATCTAAGGAGTCACCCACCGGGCAGGAACTATTCTATTGTATAAGAGATGGAATGAGATTAATGTAGACTACAGAGAATGTATGCTAAGAACAATTAAGAAAATCTAGTAATTAATGAGGTTTTCACACACCAGTTCACCCAAGGAATAATTTCACAGCACTCCCCCTTGGATTCAGGGAGGACACTTTAATCTCACTATTATAACCATGACCTAAGGAAGGACTGGGGTGGAGCACAGGAAATGTTATCCTTTTAATTGTCCTCTCTGTGGAGTAGCAATCTCCTTGTGATAAAGGAGCCCTTGGTGTCCGGCTCCGGGCGAGTCCTGCTCCCCTTGAAGGGCTCTGGGAGTCGCTGCTTTCAGCTGGTGCCACAGGCCCAGCGCCCAGCTCTTATCCCGGCTTCAGCATGTGCAGCGGGAAGGACACGGCAGCAGCGACACACGGGCTTTTCTCCCCAGATCTCCTCAGCGGAATTACTTCTCAGGGAATATCCAGGCACTGTGTCATTCCAGCAGCGCACCTATCTTGTTATGCCTCTCTTGTATCTCTTGCAGTCTCTGGTGCCAATGTAGGTGCAGTTGGAGACCGCAGGCCTGCAGGAGCTTCTCAGGTGCCTCCGTTCCATAGTCTGCATTTCCTTTATTCAGAGCCCCCTGCTACGCTCTGTAGAGGAGGAATCTACTGCATCATTTCACTAAATGTCCGGCCAGTCCGCAGGCTGGACATGCCGGCTCTGCCACCCAAAACACCCCAAGGCGGCTGTAGCACAACGTGCCTGCTCCCAGGCTCCGTCACCCTCGGGCCGGCCGTGCATGGTGCCACACGTGGTGACGGGGATATTGTGTGTGCTCGGGAGGACACGTTCTGTGTCCAGCTGGTACAGCCGTACAGCCTGGAACAGCCGTACAGCCTGGTACAGCTGTACAGCCTGGTACAGCCGTACAGCCCGGAACCTCTCCCCGAGCAGTGTGGACACAGTCACGGACGGCTGACACAGGGAGCTCCRTGTCTCCCAAAACTAAAGCTCCATGAAGGGGCCTGTCCTGCTCCCTACTCCCTAAAGACAAAAAGAGCATCATGCATCAACKATTCTTTTGTATGCTTTATTTATTTTTTTTAAAATAAATCGCTTCAACTTGCCAAATGCTGGCACTAACAGGTTAGTTTCGGGAATGCTGTCGATGTCGAACCTTGGCTTAACAATCTCCTTCCGTCTGGGAGCTTTTCTCCTCGCAGGTAGCAGGGGCGCAGGGCACACGGCCAGGGTACTCCGGTTACACAGCGACTACAGTCGCACGGGCAGAATTGTCTGCGGATTTTCACACAGATTTTGGTTTCTGGAGTGGACATGTGGTTTTGGTTACTTAATTGAAGGGTGAAGTTACAACTGTTGTTGGTAACWCAAGGCTACCCATAAATACATCCATCTTTTGCCAGGGCCCTTGAGGTAACAGATGTGTTGGAAATAGTGCCACATTCAGGGCACCCTGGGGTCTGCCACGCGCTGTTTATCATTGGTTAATTCGGTCAGTGAATAAGTGGGGACCACTGGCTTGGTTTGCCACGGAACAGGGGGTCGTTTCCGACGACCACCCCCCCGCAGCCGCCGCCATCGCAGCGCGGCGCCCGCCACGCGGCCGGCGCGAAATGGCCCCCGGCGCCC